GAGATATTTGTAGCAGATAATTCTTTCAAAATTTCTTCAGTCTCTGGCTCTTTTTATTTTCTACTTTTCATGCTGTAGACATGACATTGAAACTCAACCCTAAAAGATGTATAAGTAAGTGGAGACTTAGGGAGCAACGCATTTTCCTGTGCTAATGACTCTTCGGCTTTTTGAGCCAAATGGAAAACTCATGTAGCTAAATTCTTCAGTCCTTTGTCACATGAAGTATGCATTGAATTTGCTAATAATTGTACCTGAAAAAGAACCACAATATTCAGCCTATGGCAAGTCAGAGGCCTCTGCACAATGTTTCATTTATATGTCTATTAAAAATAGATAAGACATGGTGATGAAGAAGACAAGTCACTCTACTTGGATAACATATCTTGCCCTCACTGACTGATGTGTCTCTTGCCCTGAAATGTTTCTATCATCTCAGCTGACACATCCATAAAACAATTAACACTCAGCAGCATTTTTAAAAAGACTGGAGCTAAACGGTGCGGTCTCCTAAAAACAGCTGTCCAGTTTCAATGAGCTAGTTCGCGATGTACAAAGCAATTTTCAGGACTGACCCTGCATTACCTGCCTTTCATTTCACTCCATTACTCTCTTTGGATATAATCGGACAAGGTGAAAGGTGGATAAACCAACTCATTTCCCCTCTGCCATTCCTAATTCCTTTTTTTTTAATCAGCTAGGACTCCTCTAACTGCAGACTAAAGCCCTCAGTCCAGAGGGTACAGCACAGGCAGGAGCACAAAGTCCCTGGCAACACCAGCTGGATTCATAAAGTTTTATCTCACCAAGAAAAAGTTGATAAATCATCTTTATCTTTCCGATCTTGGCTTGCATCTATAAAATAGACAGAGGAAGGTTGGGGAACTTTGCGTCAAAAGGATTTGTAGTAGGCCATAAAGTCCCTGTCTGGATTATCCATTTGAATTCAAATGAAGTCAGCCACAAAAGAAGCCAGCTGCCATTTCGTGGTGTTGACTGCCCTGTTTAAAAGTATGTTTGTGGTCTCTGATGTACATACACAGTGTCATCAACCCCTCTGCAAAGAGCCATCTCCCCGTCCGCATTCTTTATCTACCATTTGCCAAACCTTGGCTACTGCTTCATTACGTTTACATATATAATGCTGAATGAGTAGAGATACATGTAAGGTTTTCTAGCACACGGCCTTTCACCTTCTGCTCAGGTCTATGCATCTGCGGCAGAGGTTAGACTGTGGATCTATTTAAAGACCTTTTCTTGACTCCAGCCTGTGTGCTAAGCAAAATACATGAGGGAAGCTTGTGAATTATAGAAAAGCAGGAACAGCAGATGTGGCAGGTGCTTGCAAAGCTCACGGAACAGTCTGGGAACCTGCAATGGATGTGCCATTTCTCCCTACTCGTCCAATGAAGAAAAAAAGCTAGCATGGTGTGGTACAGTCAAATCATTAGCAGACCAGGGAGGATCAACCTCGTCTCTAGTATTTCCACATGGAAAATCAGGTTTTCAAGGAGCTCTCCTGGGAGGTCACTCTTTGCCGCTGTGGCACATGGCAAAGGGAACTCATGCAGAAGTGGATTGATATGGATCCCTGGCTAACCAGCTTGGTAGTGATAAGTCAAAGTGTCTGTGTGCTGATACTGGTGATCTGTGATAGTATGGGAAGTTATTTACCAGCAGGACATTAGTATAAAAATGTGCCTGAAATAAGTGCTCGCTGTTAGAGAACAGGATTTCCAGACAGCATCCTCGCTACTGATGGCATGCATCAACGTACAGCCCATCTTCCAAAAAGAAGATGATTGGTGGGATTACTCAGAGCAGGTACTTCCCTGTTCCTCTAGCCTCTGATAGAGCAACTAGCAATGCAGAAAGCTTTGAATCGGAGGAGATACGGCCCTCGCACACTTGGGGATGCCAGGACCTTCCCCCTATTTTCTCCCTTCCTGAAGACACTGCTAACGTGCGGTTCCAGGTGCCCATCGCTCTGGAGTGCCCTGTCCCACTCAGTTGTATTCTCAGTGCTAGGTGACACAGACTGAACATTTACTCCCTCTGCAGCTGCAGAACGATGGTGTCATAGGCATTTGGCAGAGTGAAGGCGAGGACAAGCTGCATCCCTCGGCGTTTGGATGCTAATTTTGCCAAGTGTCCTGGATGTGCCTGTAGCCTGCTGTGCTCTGCGCAGCAGCTGTGAAGCCAGAGGCAGCTTCTTCGGTATGAGGTGGACCCAGAAATGTAATGGACTTCTTAGACTTCTGCACAACCAGAAAAAGCTGCATAATTGATATGAGGCCTTGTTTAAGGGAAGCCCATGAAATCATGGGTGCCACATGTGCTCCTTCCCAGGTCTCACGCTGTGATTTTAATGAGTAATCAATAGCCAAGCCCTGTGCTGCTTTGTGGAAAGAGAAATACTGGCAAGTATGTTGCACTACTAAGTTGCAGGGTGCGAAAGCGCATGGTGTGCTTGTGCTTTTAAATTTCTGGGGTGATAGGACTGCAAATCCTATGGCATATTTTGTGCCCGATTAATTTTATGGACTTCATTGGGTAAGTGTTGATTTATTTGCTGCATAAAATATCAGTTTAAATGTAACTCTCTGTGCTTGCTAGTTTGTGGACATGGGGTGCCATTTTATTGGCTTGTGCATATAGCTCACTGCATTTTTTTATTTTTTAATAAAAACTTCCAGCACAGCTGCGTTTTTGCTCTTCCAGAGCGTGTGTCAGCGGCAAGTGCTCTAGCGCAGCAGCTCACAAATAGCTAGAAAGAAAAGAGCTTGTGAAAACCACTGCCAAATCCACCAACCTTTCAGAAGGTAAACACAGCCGCGCAGGAGCGTACCTCACCTGGCAGCCACAGCCCCTCACAAAGCAAAAGGCCAAAATAATAAAGCCAGAAGCAGCTGCCACGGCAGAGGCAAAAATGTGCATGAACCTGGTTTCCCTTACGACTGGGACAGGCTCAAAATGCGCTCGCAGTCACTTACTGTGGTCCAGCTAAAAATTGTTAATTTGCAGTAACTTAATTGCTCTAAATCATGTGTCTGTAGTCATCCATGTTTACCAGACTACCAATGAAATCCTCATCAGTTTTTTTCTGTCACAAATAGCTCAACATTTTTCTGCTAAAGCAAACCCATTAAAAACAATAGAGCCAGAGTGGGGGAACTGCTTGTTCATCGAAACAGAGCTAAATGTGGGAAGAAAGGAGCCGGGAAGGAACAGATCAATGAAAAAAAGTGCTCTCTGTAGCAAAATGTAACTTCAGCATTCAAGTTAAAAATATACCTGTTGAACAGACTGATTCCGGAGTTCGCATGGCATGGGAACAGTGTGCATCTCACAGAGCCCTCTCTCTGATTTGATTTCAATGCTAGCTGCTGGTCCTCAGTGGGAAACCGCCAAGAGGGGATGCAGCAGCTCTCCATCGGAGCCAACTGTGACAGGATCGGGACAATTCAGCACGAGTTCCTGCACGCCCTGGGATTCTGGCATGAGCAGTCACGGTCCGACCGGGACGACTACGTGTCCATCATGTGGGACAGGATTCAGACTGGTCAGTCACTTCGCCATCTTTCCTTTTCCTTCAGGCTCTGGGGTTAGAGGATTTAGCTGTGGAATGTCCCTTCCGGCCATCCTTTGGTGGTCACACTATTTGCTCACCGGGACTTAGTTTTCAAAGTCAGCATATCAATAAGTTAAATAGCAAGTGACAGCTATTTGGGACAGAAAGCCTCATTTGTTGTTGCTGTGGTTATTCCTTGTTCCCAGAGACCTCGCTAGAGATCTGCGTCCTGTTACACCACACGTTGCACAGCAGAGCAACAGAAGAGAATAATTTAGTTTGTTTAAATGAATACTCTAAAAGCACTGTTACTCTGGGAGCCCTTAACAAAACAAAAGTCACTCTGAAAAACCCAGTGCAACCAAAGCCAGTAGAAAATCTCAGTGAAAACCCCGGTTGTCCTCTTTCTCCCCGGCCGCTACAGCCGGTGCAGGCAGCAGAGCTGAGAGGGCAGAGAGCGCAGAGAGGGTGTACGGACGGGAGAGACCCTTTCAGGGTCCGTATCACACCAGCGCCTGTGGTTACTTTAGCGATGCAGCTTGTGAATGTAAGTGCTGGCGTATTTGGCACAAGGCTGAGAGCTGGCACAGGGTTCCCCGGGACTCTGCTCCGTCTCTGCCTCCTCAGCTTGCCGTCGTCCTCTGTGACTTTCAGGCAGTTCAAAAACAAAGTTATATACACAGGCTTGATGCTTTCCTAACACAGGTACACACAGAAGACTGAAAAACCAGATAATGATTAAATCTAATGCATTCTTATTTAGTCATGATCAATAGTCAGGTGCATATGCAAGTATATATTACAGAAAATGACTTAGAGTCTTGTTTGATTTCCATTATATTTTTGCTGACTCTTTAATGACAAGTTGTGTTATTGTTGGCCATTTGAAACTGCTGCAGCTTTTTTACACTGACCAGAATATACTTACTGTATTTTGACTGTTTTAAAACATTTAAAAATTTACCTTCCATTGGGTAGTTAGTAATTTATTTTGCTTATACTCCAGAACATATCTGTAAAGCTAAATTCTGGAAGCTTATCTGATGACGACTCTAACTTGTTTATTGTGAGCTAAAATGACTAGCAATTAAACATCAGAGAATACCGATTAGAAACAGGGAGATATTACAATTGCAAATTGCATTAATTTGAGTACTGAAACAGTGTCTCCACTTTTGGGCATCACGAGCCCATCAAAGTTTACGGGTAGTTTCACGGGAAAAAGATTTCTGGTAGCAAAAAGCTTTCCTTCATCCAGCAGAAGTTGTTGTGTTGTGTTCCAGTGGCTGAGAGAGGAAAGTAAATAACTCTAGGCTAGAAATAAAATAGTTTTACAAAGTAAGTACAAGTAAACAACTACAAATAAATACTTGGAGATCTGATGGATTCTCTGTCACTTTAAGTCTGTACATCAAAACTTGGTCTTCTTGGGCAACAAATAACCTTTCCTTGTATTTTTCCCATTTAGGTAAAGATCATAATTTCAACAAATATGATGATAAAACATCAGACTCGCTGAATGTTCCCTATGACTACACTTCTGTGATGCACTATAGCCAAAATGCATTCAGGAATGGAACTGAACCCACCATCGTCACTAACATACCAGACTTCATGGATGTTATAGGACAGCGAATGGATTTCAGTGATTATGATCTCCAGAAACTGAACCGGCTCTACAATTGCTGTAAGCTTCTCCATTTCTTTTGAATTTTTTTGCTTCTGGCATTTGAAAGAAATAAGGGTGATACACAGATGCTGGATTCATCCAGGCACAAGTGAAAGAGATGCTAACATATTTGGAGAAGTGAATGGTGTTACAAACACCAGAAATAATGGTACAGCTAGCAATAACATAGCCCTCCTGCAGAAACACTGCTGTGTAGCAGAGTTTTCTGTGCAATTTTATCTGACCTTTAGTTAAAAACCAGCTTCACTCAGCAGCTGATTTTTGTTCATCCCTTGGGTGGTTGTTTAAAATGTGCGCTTCTGCACAAAGCTTTTTGGTTTTTTCCCCCATTATTCCGCAGCTGCTGCTCAGACACTGTACAGCAATGAGTATCTTTGCTGTGGCTATCGTATCTACCCCGCACTCATGCAATCTGTGAGACAGAGGATGTGTTCATGCAAATACGGTACAGATGCTGTTAGGGAGAAAATGTGAGCTTTGTAAATTTTTATTTTTAGTTTCAAACCCAGTCTCTTAGAAAAGTGGTCAAAAGAATTATTTTGATCATGTGGGATTTATCTGAGAAAGTTGAGGGAAAGTAAGAGACAGAGAAATATAGATAATTCTATTACCAAACAGGAATATAATTCTGTAATTGTGACTGCATCAAATGTGCCCTAGCACTCAGATGAAAACTTTTACTTCACTGTCTCAGTATCCCAATTAGTGATTTACAATTACAAGTATTGGTTTACAATTATATTTTAATCCTCCTTCTACAGATGCCTTCAACAATTATCAAACTGTTGTATTAAAACAGTGCATTTTTTTGAGCATACGATTCTGATGAAAATATTTCTGTTCATGTAGGTCTAAACTGAACACACACTTAGATGCAGCCTTAGCTTCTATTGCTTGGTGCACAGTCAGTTAGGTGTTAGAGAAGCGCTTACAGCTAAGGATGCCTTTGACAGCGGATGGGGTCCTTCTTCCTCTCCAGTAATCTTATATACTTTCCATTGTTCTCATGCATTATATAAATACTTCATGACATTTTAACTTTATTCTTAACCCATAGGCACATTCCCCAAGTGAAATAAGCCCCAGTCATGTTGAAATTAGTGACAAAACTGCCACCACCTTCAGTGCAATCAGGATCTACCCTGGCTCCCCAGTCTGTCCCTTGGCCTTGTATACTGTGCACAATATTTGCAGAGCCATAAGTGGTCTTCAGATCACCCACCACTTGCCTAAGTGGCCCCTGTGGGCGGGAGGATGGGTGCTTGGCAGGTCCCAGCCCTCACTCACCCAGCTGCTGGGCTGATCCGTTTCAGGTTAGAGGGAAGACTGGGAATGCTAAAAATGGTTTGGGTGGCAGGTATCCTCCCACAGGAATCAGATGATTACTTCTGTTGCTGAACATGATTTAAGGAAAAGTTTAAGCTGAACTTCTGCAAAAGGCCTGTGTGGTTAGGAAATTGCATAAAAAATGGGAACCTTGGTTCTTAAATTGAAAAAAACCAACCCACAGCATAAGAAATCCTGACTGATTCTTCAGTGCTGTTCTGATCTCTTCTTCAGGACTGTCTTTCAGGCCATATGATAATGGTAGATTTTAGTCCGCTTTCCACTTGTAGCATATAACTTCGCAGAATTATGAGGTTTCCCTCAGCCACTGGTAGTTAAGACTCACCACTCATCCCCCATGTTTTTTCTTCCAAGTCCAGCCTTCCATTATATACCAACAAAGTATCTGGCTTTTGGTACAGATGGAGTTCAACACCCCTCTCCCCCTGCCCCCCAAACAGTGCCCCCTTCCCCTACCTCATTAGTTAATCTAAGAAATACATTGTAAGCTATTGAGTCTTGCTTTGCTCTCCTCCTGTTGTTCAGGTCACCAGTGCATGCCAGCTGGCACTTCCTAATTACAGTTCTTCTCTTTGGGCAAATTGATTTCATATTTTCTTTCATATTTTGATTTCAAAGAGTTGTTTACTCTAATAATTCTCCATTTTTGCTTAGCTTCTTGCTGACACCCTAGCTGTTTTTTTTTTTTCTTTCTCTAGCCATCAAAATAACATTTACTATGAAAATATTTTTTTGTTTTTTACAACATCATACCAATACTGTATCTTAAAAGGTATCAGTCATAAAACACTTCTGATACCCTTGCAACCTCTAGAGGACTGTTAGCTTTCTTTGAGGACAATACAAAACATCTCAGCAGTACAACTGATTTGGCAGCAGTTCATATTTAAGTGCTTCCCTGAGCTACAGCCTAAGTGGAGCATTTGGCGTGCCATTGAGGTTGATTTTTCTGATACTCAAAGTCCTTTTTGTGGTGCAATGAAACCTTTAAACCTGCCACAATATTTTATACATAGTTTGAAAGGCAATAATCATGAAGCATTTTATTAACTTAGTTGTTTTCAAATCATGGCTGCTGTTACACAGGGCTCAGATATGAGAAACAAATCTAAGAATAGGGATAAACCTGGACTGTGTCTTCCCTTGCACATCCAGAGTTTGCTTCAGACAGAGAAAACATTTCATATAGTCTTCTCCCTTTCCTATTCAACTGCACAATCTTCTTTCACTTAATTTTTCACTCGTTACATGCAAGGCATCTTAAAAATTTGTGTGAGATGAGAAATCCACTGGTCCCAAATGTACCTTTGCCAAATGTTTGGGGCTTAGTTTTTTTCAGTTCAGCATTTTGAAAATCAAGGCTTGCTTATTGCAGGGAAATAACTTCTGCTCTATTATATGTAAAAATAAGCACTTCAGCTGATACATTAGTGAACTTTTATCAAAATCTGTGTCCATGTGTGGACTGGCCCAAAGAAAGCAGGGAAGTCTCAGGACCTTTCGTCTGTGTGAAGGTTGGTGGGTTGGGGCTGGTATTAGTGTTCCTTTTACAAATAAAGATGTGATACACTAATTAGCTGGCACGCTTCTGTGTTTGCTAAGTGCCCAAAGTTGTCCTGACAATGTCTTATTAGTGTCAGTGTTAATTGCCAAATGCTTAGAGTTCCTGAACATTATACCTATGAATGTTGATGGTATTTGAAGCCACTGATTATTTGCTGTTTGCATTTAGTCTTGCTCTGCTCTTGGCTTTGGACATTCAGAATTAAAATGTATGTCATGTAATAGAGAATAAAAAAAAAATTTTTTTCTTGTATTTTTAAATCTTGTAGCCTCCTCCCTAAGTTTCATGGACACATGCAGTTTTGAACTTGAAAATATCTGTGGCATGATTCAAAGTTCAGATGATAACAGTGAGTGGCAGCGTTTGTCTCAGGTTCCTGCTGGACCAAATACTGATCACACTAATATGGGAGAATGCAAAGGTATGAGAAAAGATTGTTCTTATCTCTCTGGGAAGTATTTTCTGCAGAGGCATGTGACTTGACTTCGATCTTGGCCTTGTTCTCTGTTTATTTCTTGACAAATTACAGTTTATTTTTTAACTAAGCAACATAAATCTACACACTTAGGGACATCATGTGATACATTTGATTTTCTGCTTATTTAGAAGATTAAATGTCCTTATCTCTTTTGATCTATTTTATAGTCTTAATGTCACATCCTGACACAAGAACTATATAAAATGTTCTAACCTATGGTACAGGCACACCAGAAAGACTGCTGCTTTTCTGAATAATTGCTCAGTAAGTCTTTGGTCAGGATTGACATTTAGAAATTATGTGTATTTTCGGGGCTCAGGTGAACAATGAATTGAGAATATAGCCAGTTGTTTCTGAATATGTCAGAGAAAACTTCATGAGTTCAGGAACCAGTCCTCCAGAGAGTCACCTGTGAATTACTGGCACTGGGCAAAGAGTAAAAGCCCATGCTTTTGAGGACAAATCACTAGAGACAGCCAAATTAGGAAAAAGGTTGCAAAGAGAACAGCTCTGCCTCTGGAGAATGAGAGCAGGTAACAGTCCTCAGTGTGAGGATTTGTACAGGATCTACCTTACCCTGACTTGGCCATGTCTTCTAGTGTTATTGCAATACAGTCCGCCAGGAAAATTTTGTTTTCTCTCCCCTCTACTGTTCATTTCTGAATGACTTTTGACAGGTTCTGGCTACTTCATGCATTTCAACACCAGCACTGGTGCAGCAGGAAGCACGGCTATCCTGGAGAGTCGAATTCTGTATCCCAAAAGAGACTTTCAGTGCTTACAATTCTATTTCTATAACAGCGGTCACGAAAGCGACCAACTGTATGTCTGGGTCAGGGAGTATACTTCAGCTCATCCCAATGGTACTTTGAGACTAATTGAAGAGATAAAAGGTATGGAATAAAATTGTATTTTGGTTTAATCTATACTCAATATCCTTTTTGACGTACTGGGGGGAAAATATTGTAGCAAAGTGACTCATCTCCTAGCGTTATTCTTTGGCTTCATTTCTAACTATGGAATTGATTCTTTGCTGGTGAAATTATACTTGATGGATCCTCAGTCAGCCATTTTCGTATAACATAATCCATTACCACAAATTACAAACTCTTGCATTATCGAGATAGTTTTCTCACCAAAATAGCTAAAATTCCATAAGCAGTCATTTTAACTGTTCTAGAATTGCTGGTATCAATAGCAACAGATGAAGCTGGTCATTAGAATGAATTACAATGAATAAGAAAGTTATAATAAAGAAATGGAAAGTGTAAATGCCCTAGAATACCTAACATACCAGTTTAAAAAAGATAAATAAAACTCAACTTACTTTTTAAACAAGGTTTGAAATGACTTAACTGAAATATATGGGCAGCAGATAATGATTTGAGTTGTAGTTTGAAGAAAATTAAGTTCTTGTGTTTTTAGGAGCCTGTGGCCTGTGGAATGAGCCACTGAGGTCACTTAATGGACAAGAGCTCTTTAAGCTAGAATTGCCAAAGTCACCTTATGATTAAATTATTTTCTCAAATATTTAACTATTACTTGGTCTCCATTACAGCTATAACTAGTTCAATATTCTGGTTACATAAGGGTCTGAGCAAGTTCTTTTACTAAATAGGTAGCAAGTCCACTCTTCTGCCTCTTTTTGTCCCTTTAGGTTCAGCTGCTGCTGGTGCCTGTTTTTCTTTTTTTTTTTTTTCCCCATTCTTTTCTTCACCCTGACGCTTTCATCATCCCTGTGTGCCATCAAGAATCCTTAATATAAGTGTCAGGGCTGCCAAAGCAGATGTAGATTTCAGATCAGTCTGATCCCTCCAAACTCTTTCAAACCCTACTTTGAAGCCAAGATTAATTTCTCCACACTTCAGCCTTCTTCACAAATACTCTCATATATATCAGGTCCCATCTCTCATTCCTGCAATAATTTCCTTTTAAGTCTCTGATCTCATATGTGTGTCCAAATGGGCACTCTACTTTCACAATCTCTGGGAAAACTTTCGGGAATGGTTTAAGATCATGTTTTCCCCCAAGCTGTTTCTCTTCTCTCTTGTGAGAAGTTGCCCTCACCAACCCAGCCAACAAACTGGAAGAAGCAATGGCACTACAGCCCTTTCCAGCCATGATCTAACGTCCTGGCTGAGCCGCTCATGGGTTTGCACTGAACCACCGTGCTCGAGAGGCTGAGGGACAAGCCCTGAGCCCTTTCTGCTGCTCTATGGCAGCTGTGGCTGCCTTCGGCCAGGAGCAGGGGAGGCTGTGGGGACGGGACATTTTGCAGCACAGTAGCTGATCTGCTTATTGAACATGAGTTAGAAACCCCAGTCTTGCATATAATCTGTGTAGTTCAAAAAAACTTCAGTTTATGCAGAAGGCAATTTAATGGGAAACAGTAGGGTGCTTTTGTTCTTGTTTAGGATTATTTTTTTCCTCCTAATTATAACAGTAATGAAAAATGGCAAGAAAATAAGACTCATATCTGAGATCCATTGTATTATGTTTAGAATTGTTAGGGAAGTGAAGCATGAATTCTGTACCTGGGATTGGCACTGTTTATTCCACAAATGCAGCTGAAAGTCTGGTCTTCTGTGCAGGTGAGCATAAACCAGAGAGCAAAAGAAGCCATTTTGCTGCACATACTATCAACAAAGAATGCCCTACTTTCACTTGCCTTACAAGGTCCATGCGCAGATGTCTTTGCTTTTGTCTACACTGCTCTTGGAGTCAAGTGGAATTTTCTAGTGCAGGCAATTTTGGATGCAACATCAGACTCTCAGTGAGGTTTTATCACATGAAGTAGGTTTTGCAAATGAGTGGCTTTAATTTGAACTTAGCTCCATTAATCAGTTCGTGGGTGAATAGTGATTCTGCATAGGCAAACTTCCTTCAAGCCATTTAAATATACAAAAACAGTTGAATGAACCAGTCTTGTACTTCTAGGTTCTCAAAATCCCCTGCAGCATTCTTTGCTGAGACATGTTGTTATTCAGTTATTTGAATATACCTTGTTCTGGATTTTTTGCTTTTTAATAATACAGGTGACAGCCATCCTTGTGCATTTATTTATCTATCACAAAATCTATCCTAATTTAATGCAATGTTCTTTAAAAATCTAAAAGAAAAAGCAGTCATAACCATTAGAATTGTTTTAACTCAAATTAAAGAGCTGCTATGCATATTAAATCTGTTGAAAAACTGAATTGAGAAAATACGATCTTGCACTGAAAACGTAACATCCACAGGAGAAATGTTCCATCACATCAGTGCCAGTGGAATTGAGAAATTCTTACATAGTGTTGGTATAGGGTCCGTAGACCTGTGCAGTGTTTGTCTGTACTGCTTACTCAGAAATCCCTACCCCTGTTTTTCAGGTTCACCTGTGAGTTACTGGCAGCTCCATCACGTTTCTTTGAATGTTACAAGTAAATTCAGGGTTGTGTTTCAAGGCACGAGAGGAAGCGGCTTATCAATGGGAGGCCTTTCTATTGACGACATCAACTTGTCAGAAACTCAGTGTCCCCACCACGTCTGGCATATCAGAAATTTCGCACATCTCCTCAACACAAGTCCAGCAGGGACAGAAGGAAGAATATACAGTCCACCTTTTTACTCCAGTAAAGGATATGCTTTTCAGGTCAGCTTGTATGTAAATGGTACCACCGATAACCCATTTAATTTAGCAATGTACTTGCACTTGATTTCTGGAGCAAATGATGACCAGTTGCAATGGCCCTGCGCATGGCAACAAGGTACCGTGATTCTGCTCGACCAGCATCCTGATATTCGTCAACAGATGTCAAACCAAAGAAGTATAACAACTGACCCTCTGAAATTATCAGGTTAGTTAAAATCAGACATGCTATCCAGTATGTTTAAAGCACAGCCAAAAGATAAGGAGTCAAATTTTCGCTTTGTGTAAATTAGTGCAAGGTTTTTTTAGCTTCTGGAATGTTTCATTTGTTTGTAGCAACAATACAACTGATCCACAGACAAGAAAAAATTGAACATACAAGTTGGTTAAGCTGGGACCCTGGATTTCAAAGTTGATTTGCATAAGAAACAGGTGGACGATCCACTCCTAAAATTTCTTTCCTATACTCTGTGAAGATGCATTTATATCTGCTTTAATGAAAATGGAAGTTTTCCAGAAGACTTAAAGAAAAATACTGAATTAACAATGACACAGAGGTCATACCAGATAAAAGTGCAGCTATTAAACAAATCCCCTCCCTCCTTGTAAAACATACAATGGTGTCAGCACAAATCTCCAGATGAACAAAGTACTGATTCATATTACATAATCTCTACTCGTTCAAGGTATGAGAAGATAAGGAGCAATTGTCCACAATAACTTGGAAAGGAGGCAATTGAGGTAAAGATGTAACTCTGAGAAATGGTAGGAATCTCTATAAAGAGAGATGTTAAAGAAAACCCCCATATTCATCATTGGATAAAGATTGGATTTAAGCCAAAGTTACTTTCTGCATCGATATAAGGGGTTTGCCAAAAGGAAGAAACCACCCTCACCACTGAATTATTTTCCTGGGCTTTCAGACCATAAAATTAGTGAAGGAGGGAAGGCACAACAATGTCAAATTCACAGTATTATTTTTAATATTTTATGATTTACATTTTTCTATGACACTGTCTCTACATGAAAACAATGAGGGTAATCTAGAAAGACTAAATGTCCTCCCCTGTAAATGAATGACACATCCCACCGGGTCCTGCGTAGATGGCTGACATTTTCCCTGTGCTCTCTGCTATTATGGCCACAGTGCTCAGCCCTTTTCCTTCCCTGACCCTGTGGACATGCAGTCTGTTTGCACTCTGCCCCTTCTTCCCTCTTTATTCATATAGTGCTAATAGCCCCAGATTCTCAAGAGAAGCCGTGTAACTCCTGTCCTTTCTCTAACCAGCCGAGGCGTTGGAGCCATCAGTTTCTTCTCCCTCTGTCAGATACTTTCATAGACAATCAGGCTCAGCTTTGAGATTTAGAACAGGGTTTGATGGAGGGGACATCAGTGGCCTGTGACCGTTCAAGTATCCTTTGCCATACATCCACATCAAGAGATGCTCTTTTTTGAGAAGCACTGAATTAATTCATTTTACAGATGATTCATATGCTACTCATCTTCTTGCCCACTACACTTTTAAAGAACTATGAAGAAAATACAATATGTTTTCAACTAGCTCTCCAATAATGTCATCTCCAGCAGGCTATTTTCTCAATAGCTCAGGCTAAAACAAGCCGTTTGAAGATCTCCATTGCCTTGTGCATCTCATCAGTGTGGAATCTGAGGCAAAAAAATCTGCAAATGTTATAGGCAGGTTCAGCATTGCTCCTGTTCCTTGAGTTTCAGGTAATTTATTGTCTTCTCCATATTCATGATATCCATGAGCAACTAGGCAGAAGCAGGCAAAGTAGGATATAGTCCATCTTGGTTACTGAGAGAGGCCTCAGTACTAGTTTTCAGCAGAGATTATCCAAGAAGGAAGGGACCTTATTAAGAAAGAAATCCAGAGTTGTCCCACATTCACATTCAGTTCATTTTTTTTTCCAGATTCCTCATCAACTTATTTTTGGGATAGGCCAGATAAAGTGGGATCTCCGGCATCTTTTCCCAATGGAACTACATTCATGAGAGGTCCAGGAAGTGGAACGACTGCATTCTTAACTCATCAGAGACTTAGAAGCCGCAACTTTATTAAAGAAGATGGTGTTTATATTCTTTTAACAATGGAAGGTATGTAAACATAGCCGATATTCTTTACTATACAGTAAACACGGAATATCACATACTCACTTAGTCACTAGTGCTGTAGATATAAATACACATGATGTACTTTGCAAATGAGCAGTTTTGGAACTATGCATGTATCTATAGTTAAATCACATGTCTGAATAAATTTGTGGATAGGTACCTGCACTGTATAATTCCTTTATCTCATGTGCAGGTGTAGAAAACAATGCTAATCCTGTGCAAATTTTGAATAGAGTACTTTGAATAAAATTGTCTGTTTCTGAAAAAATCTAGAGGACATTTCCAAAATACCTCATGGTCCTGGAAGGTAAAAAGACTGTTTATCCATTATATCTGTGGACAGGCTCTTTGCTCTTTACCGTTAGAACTTACCATTAGAATTTATCATTAGAATAAGAGGAAGAAACCCATGAAGTAAAGACCTTATTTCTTGTGGTTTGATTGTGCAGATATATCACATCTACTATCAACTCAGCCAAGCATTTCACCCACCTTTGTTGTGAATACATCCAGTGCCAACACCATCAAACCTACCTCTACCACCACCAGGCCTAGCACCACCACAACACCCTCTGTCACCCCGACGGAAAAGCCAGAGATAGAGGTGCCCAATTTCTGCCCAGACAACCCTTGTGAAAACAACGGTATCTGTGTTATTGTAGATACAGCACCGGTGTGCAGGTAACTGCCTTTATTCACACTCAAATGCAATTTTAGGATGAGTAATGCAAATTTCTAGTAGCATAAATCTTTGTTTCTAATGAAAGGAAAGACAGACTATAGCTGATCAAGGCAAATATTTCCAACTGCTACTGTGAGACTAAACTTATGACCAGTTTGGGCAACAAAACTCCTAACCTCAGCATTTGATCATTTTGAAGTACTCTACTTGACTTCCCTGTGAATTATATTTTAAATTTATTTATCATTTTCAGTAATGTATTCATCCAGTGTTATACAATGGACTGTGCATCTCCTTAGAAGTCCCTATAGCAAAATTTATAAGAGTTAAATATAAATGCAGTTGAAACAAAATAGCATTTATATCAGTAGAAAAAAGCTTTAATACTTCTCAGGCAGGAAGCAGCATAGACATTATTTTGGAATTTGATTCAGAACTACTGTGTAGTGTAAATTATGACCATGAATTACCAAATTGTAGTTGCTTACCTTTGAAACCAGAGATGAAGGCTGACGACTAAAAAGATTGTTTGCCCTGAAAGAAAATTAATATCAACTTTTATTTGCTTCTCTGTTGATACATTTATGTAACCCACCTGGCTGGTCAGCATTGTTCCAGCTCTCAAACAAGCTCTAGGGCTGAAGACAGGAACCTTATGTGATGCTGCACCAAGGCAGGTAGACCGGTGGAGTGCTGTGAGGCAAACCTCTAAAGGCCGAGAGCAGTAAGAGTCAGGATGACTCATTAAGTGTTATATCTCGCCATTTAGAAGCCTTTTAAAAAACAATTCTTGTGCAACCGACCAGAAGCAGGTCACAAATACGAGTAAATGTCAAGAAGCTGTTCCAAGAAGACAAATAAAATTTATGCTGAATGTTACGTCTGATTTCAAAATTATGTAATGAAAACATTTATTTTCTGACACCTCTGGACTATTTGCAGCTCTACTGCCTATGATGTGATATACTTTCTGTCCTACAGAAGTGTGTGACCAGCAGCCAGTTTCGGCCCCAATTTTCTACTGGGAAACAAGGGGGGATGTGATACATAACTGTGTTTAAGCTGGATCACATGAAGTCACCCAACAGTCAGCATCCTTGCAGCACACTGCAAAAAGACTCATTTTCAGGGTTGAGCATATAGTTCTGAACAAATTACTTAGGAACTAGAAAAACAATAACATAAGGAACAACCAGGGTTAGAAAGATAGGGGCAGGTGTGCATTCAGCGGTACTGCACATGTATTTTATTTTCCAGTTAGATCATTGAGACCTTCATATGCTCACTATAAAATGTTTCAGAGCTGACAGTGATGCTGGATAAGGTGAAGGAATTAAGGCTTGGAGGTTGTTTATAGTCCTAAAACCAGACAACTGCTAGAATGTTAATTTTTTCTTACCTTTTTCTTGGGGAAGGGCAGAGGCAGCTCCTACAAGTTCTTTAAATTTGAAAATAAGCTCCTTCTGGCAATGAGAAGGTCTGATCAGAATGTACCAGATCTACTAGTGGAGAAGCCCTGAGCAGGGAAAGGGGAATGTGGTGGGAACATCTTTGGCTAGCTCAGTCTTAGAACTGGGGAATTCATTCACCTAAGTTTTGGTTCAGCTGCTATCTGGTCAGCAGTACCTTGACAGTCCGGCCTGTGGTCTCTACCCCATTTATCTCATGGGTTCGAATTGCTGCATAAGGTGAGCTGAGAAATAAAAAAAACCCAAAAAACCAAACAAAGAACACATGAGGAAATAGGAGGATGAAGTTTTCTAGAGGATGGTATATGTGGCTTGATTGGATAAAACCAGCAGTGTAAAGCTTCTGGACCACTTGCCCTAGGAGATTATTCAACTCCTTCCTATAAAGGCTTTTTAAAATGGACTGAGTAAAGAAGATAGAAGGGCTTTGTGTAAAAGATGAGCATGACAGAAGGCAGAACTGCATCAGGATATGAGGCTAATTAGTAATAGTGGAAGCAAATATTACATGACAGTGGTCCTAGTGACAGCTATCAGTTTCATGGAGAAGAAAGTGAGTTTTCTATCAACAGAAGTGCTATAAACTTCAAGGAAAAGGAAGCAGATAAGTGAACTGAGAGATGCAGAGGACCTCTCTATTGCTAGCAAAAGATGATCATTCTGTAGCAGCAGCTCTATAGATCAGCTGTGGTCAAGCCTTAAGCAGTCAAAAGAATCGGGATGGCACTTTGGTTTTCCAGCAAAGGCTCTCTCTGAAGACACGACCTGTAAAGCAGCAGGAAGCTGAAAGAAGCACATCCAGATGTGTAAGGACAGTGGGCCACTCAAGACAACTTTAAAATAGAAGTCCATTTTAAGATAACTTCATTATGCTTTGGGATATAGAAACAGTGCATCAGAGATGCCATTTTTTTAAGTAGCCCTTTTCATGCCTTTAATCTTTAGATGATGCTGCACGTTTGTTCTTTTACTTTCTAGATGTCCAGCAGGTGACAACTGGTGGTACATGGGAGCAAAATGTGAAAGGAAAGGCTCAACTCGAGAAAATACTATAATAGCTGTTTCTTCAACCATAAGTGTATTTGTTGTAATGCTTATTGTCACTATCACAACGGCAGTGTGCCTTAAAAAGAAATACAGTCGAAGAAAGGAAAATGGGGAGAGCCTGACTCTAGAAGTAAGTATTTTGCCTCTTTCAACAAATACACACACATGCACATATATATATTTACTAAAAAGTAAACAATCAAATTCAGTAAGGAGTAAATTGGAAGATGTCGCATTTTTGAAGTCCGAAGACTCCAGTTTAGGAATTAAAGAGCTCCATTAAGTGCTACTAATTTATCAGACACCAAAAAGCCACTTCACCTGTTCTCCCTCTCCTCTCCCACCACTCTTACTGCTGTGATGGCAGCGGGAGAGTGTGAACAAAGGGGCTCATTTTCAATTCGTAAATAAACCATGTCTTCCACTTAATGGACTTGTATTTCATCTATTACAGCATTTTCTACTAAAGATCTCTCCTTAAAACACCAGGATATGGTGCTAAAAAAACCCAACCCTAAATGTCAAAACAAAAAGGAAGTCTAAAAATCAGTTTCCCTACTCAAAGGCCATTTTTAATGCAAGGAACAAAGTAGCCATGGAAATTGTGACTTAAGGAGAATTAAAAGGACACAACAGGTTAAAACTATCTGAATGACTGGATCAGAAATGCCATGTAATGAATAGCAGAGACATTTGGGCAGGTTTGGATAGGAAGTTTCATAAAGTCCGAAGCATCTAGACTCTTAGTTTAAACAGAGACCTAGACTTGGAAATAGCAAGAATAACATAGCTTAGAGGGACTCACAAGGTGCAGGGGAAATTTTGTAAGCGAATTAAAGAGGAATGGCTTTCCAGAGAGCAGACTTAATGTTTTGAATTTTGTCCTAATACTCTTTATGAGATGTCCTGTTGAGGCGCAGTACCTCTGTGCAGTACCAGATACTTGACACTGTTACTTTATGACCTTCCAATAAATTATTTTGGGTTTTTTTTTTTGTAAGTAACACTCTTACATTATACATATATTTTCCTTCCTACATGCTTTTGAGTTGTGAGTTTATTTGTTTTGGTGTTTTTTTTTTTTTTCCTCATTTAGAATAAAACATCCTTCTGAAGATAATGCAAACAAGCATCAAGGACACAAGACGAACATCACTGGAAAACGACAAGTATGACATCATTCTTTCTGTTACTTTTATCTCAACCATCATGATAAAGGTTTGTAAAGTCTGGAAAATAATTCATCATCTGGATAAAATACTGTGCTAAACTCAGTAAAGTGTCTGACTGTGTTTTGTATTATGATGCAATGGAGAAAGACGGAAATATGTTGTGTGACATGTCTGCCCTATCCTTTAAGTCTACCTGAACATGAAGAAAACAAGTAAAACTGCATCCTGACTTTCAACCAACACAGGGAAGCACAGTGAAGTCTAGGTTGGCTATCTTGTCATGATACAGATGTCTATAATAAAAGGGAGCTGGACTCTGTAATCATGGGGTACCCAGCAGTTCTGAGTCCTGCAACACCCGTCAGTAGGCAGTGTGAGGGTATGATGTGGAGTGTGGGAGCGTCTCGTTCATTGAGTTATTTGGTTATGATCCACTCACTATAAAAGAAATAACAAGTAATGAGGAAAGTGATAAATTAACTACACAGACACATAAACATTAATGAGTAAGTCACAACAGAGACAATAATGAGGACCCAGAGTGCTTCAGCCGCTGATTGATGGTCCATTGAAGGAACTACTCAGGCAAAGCCTTCAAGAATGTCAACCTGAACAACAATTTTTAACTGATAGGAAGGAAGAAACATGATTAATATGAGTATTATGGGAGGCTGCTTGGGATATGGGCTGTAAGAAGAGGCTGGTGGACTTACGTAAAAATAACTATAGGAAGTTTAGGGGAAGGGCCAAAGGATCCAAAGAAAAGGGGAAGGATCACAGTGGAGGGTGTCCCTGCCCACAGCAGGGGGGTTGGAACTAGATGATCTTTAAGGTCCCTTCCAACCCAAACCATTCTGTGGTTCTATGATCAGAGGAAGTAGTGTGGGGAAAATGGTGCAAAAATGGGCTGCAAAAGAGATCTGTGTGCCAATGACCAGAGGAGTTCACAGGTCTTATGGCTTGTGGGTCTAGGTACTAGCACATAGAGGGACTGGCATGCAAGAGTCTGTGTGCCAGTAACTGGAGGGACTGTGGGCGGTAGGACTTCTAGGTCTAAACACCAGCGACTGGAGGGATTGGAGGCGGGGGGGGGGGGGGGGCGGGTGGCTGT